ACCTCCTGCGCACCAGCTCCGGCTCCGAGGGCCGGGCCCGGCACGACTCCTGCAGGTAGCCCAGCAGGGCCGGCACCGCGACCAGCAGGGCGAGCATCGAGTACCAGGCGGCTGGAAGAGGTGGGACAGCGTCAGCCCGGGGGGTCCGGGGAGGGGACCGGCCTCGACCCCCGACACGCACCTTGTCCGAGGGTGAGCAGGAGGAAGTTGAGGCCGAGGCAGACCAGGAGGGAGCACACGGGCCGCTGCCACCTGCCGAGACAGGGGGAGGCGAGGGACGTGAGGCCCCGGGGACGATCTCGGTACGGGTCCCAGCCCATCCCATACCTACCTCAGGAGGGAGCGGACGCCCTCGGCCGCGTCCCGCAGCGGCTCCAGGTACAGCTCCAGTCGCCGGTAGCTCCGCACCAGCTCCAGCAGGTCGAAAGCGGCGGCGGCCTTGGGCGGCGACGGCTCTGGTGGGGCCTCACCGCCGCCCGCCACCCCTTCGGAGCCTCCCGCCGCCCCGTCCCGCTCCACCGCCTGCATGACGGCACCGGGGCCGCACCGGGACGGGGCCGCACCGGCACCGCCGCCCTCGGCCCTCGGCCGCTGCCGTGACGCGGCGGGCGCGCCGCGAGCGCAGCCAATCGGAGAGCCGGACCAGGGCGCGGCGCCGCGCGCAGCCAATCAGAGGGCCGAGCCGGGGCGCGGCGCACAGGCCCCGCCTCCGCGGGGCGGAGCGGGCGGCGCCGGAAGCGGCGGCGTCTCCTCTGGTGCCCGGTGCCGCCCGGCCCTGCCCGTGGCGCTCCGTGGGTCCTGCGTGTGGATGGGTCTGGTCTAGACACGAGGCTCGGCCCAGACCCACGGTTAATCAGCGTCCTGGCCCTGTCTCGGTTCGCCTCTGCTCTGGTGTAGCGCTCAGTCACAGCCCGGATCCTGTCCGAGTCCGGGGCTGAGCACGATCCGTTTCAGTCCTGGTCCAAGTCTCAGTCCCAGACTGGGTCTTGGCATGGCTTGCACCTAGCCGTGTAGGGCACAGCGGGTTTGTCCCCGTGAGCCCATTGCTGTGGCACCTCTCCCCGGGGAGAGACCAGGGCGCAGCCCCACACGCGTGGGCCCTGCGAGGGAGCGACAGGTTCCCTCCAGGCCCGTAACCGTGGCTGGCAGCTCACCTGCTGCCCCTTCGTGCCCCCGCAGCAGCCCAGCCCTGGGTGCACGGGCACTGCCCTGCACAGCAGCTCCCCATCTCCCTGGGCACCACGAGCTGTCCTGACAGGTGCTTGCAGTAGAGCAGGGCTGCTGGCTCCCAGGGATGCTCTGGGGATCCTGGGTTTCCTCCGATGCCAAAAGGTAGGGATCTCATAATACTCCATGCAACCTTGTTTTACCCCTGTGCTGACTCCTGGGCAATGAGGGCTCAACAATGCTGTCGGCTGTCCACAGCCTCTGCTGAACAGGGGAGGCTCAACCCCATCCCAAGAGTGCATCACAGGGCTGGAGCCAGTCCTGGGAGATGCCAGCTGCCCCTAGGCGGTCCCTGACCCTCCGGTCCCTGATCCTCTGGGGGCCCAACAGCGTGGGCATGACTGCCTAGCAGTATCCTGGCCCAAGGACAGAGGGCTCTTTCAGCCCTGAGTGACAAAGCCCATAGGAATGCAGCTCCATCCTGTCCTCAGTGCATTCCTGCAACCACATAGCCCTGGGGACTCAGTCTCCCTCTGCTCCGCCAGGCACTGAGAGGTGCCAGTGGAGCCTGCCTGTGACCCCAGAGCACCCCAGGACATTGTGACCACGGCCAGGGGCTCCAAGCAGAGAGGCCCCAGGAGAAAGGGCTACAAGACTACAGAGCTGGGAGTGATCCCAGCTCAGACCTCGTACTCAGCAGGTTCCAGCCCCAGCACAAAGCCCCAGACACCCAGTGAGCGCCAACATTGCTTTATTTGGAATGTGAATCCACGGGCACCAGAGAGGAGGCTGTAGGGGGACAGAGCCAGCATGACAGACAGGGCTGCAGAAAGCCAGAGAAAGGCACTTGTGCTGGCAGAAGCACAGAGGGCATTTTGGGCAGCCTGGGCCAGGGACTGCACCAGAACAGGCGGAGGCAGGTGATGTCAGGGACCAGCCCTGACAGGGCAGGGATGGCACATCCCACCCAGTGAAGAGACAATGGCCCAGGGGTTGGCAGGGCCCCTGAGCACAACGGATATCTGCTGGGACAGCACCTCATGATGGAAGCGGGGACCCAGTACCAACCCCGAGCCCCTTCAAGCCCCAGGAGGATCACAGCTGCTGCTCTCCACCCCAAAAAAGGCACCAGGGAACCCCAAGCAACAGCCAGACCCTGTGGCCAGCTGCTGGGGACACCCACCCCACTGATCTGAGCCCATACAGAGACTGGGGCAGACCCTCCCTCGCACCAAGACCAAAGGAGAGGATCTGCCTCCAGGCAGGGCAAGGAGGGCTTGTGGCAGGGCAGCCCTGGTGTGGTGCTCCTCCAAAAATTCTGTCTCTGGCTGCTTATTTCTCCAGTTGGCCCTACATGGCCTCCTCAGGGCTTGGTCCTTGGTGGATTGTGGAGGCTGATCCAAGGCTGGGCTGGCTCCAGTGGCAGTGTTCTCTTCTCCTGTTCTCCAAGACAGGCTGTCCCCCCACAATGCCCGGTCCCAGTTCCCCCATGGCCAGAGTGCCAGCAGCAGCCCAGCACTGCCATGCTGCCATGCTCACCCTTCTACCTTGCCACAGTCTCCAGGCGCTGCCTGGTCCCAAGATGAAGTCGGAGAGTCCAGAGATCAGAATCTTCTGGGATGATAAACCAAGTGCAGCAGAGCCAGGCAGGGCTGCAGGCCAGCCTCCAGAAACATCAGCGAGGCTGTGCCTGTCCCTTTTGGAGCAGCCTGGCCCCAGTCTGCTTCAGTGGCTCTGGGTGGCTCAGAGCCACAAACCTCTCTGCAGAACAGCAGGAGAATGACCCCAAGACTGGCCCCTTCAACCCCCAGGGGCACCTGGTCCCATCCTGGGGCTGTACAAACTCCAAGGTTGGAGGAATTTACCCCCGCCCAGGGTAAGACCCCACTCGTCCTTCCCCTTGTCCTGCAGTGATGGAGGCCTTGCTGCCCTGCTCAGACCCCAGACTGGACCTGGGTTGTGTCCGGGGGCCTGGGGTGACGCTGGGTCTGGTTGTGTGGTACCCGGGTGTCTCCACACTCCCAGAGTGCAGGGCAGGGAGGGGCTGAGCCCCGCGGGGATCCGATAAGATGAAGGATGTTTTCAGGCCAGACAGAAGGAGGGGCCCGGGCTGGGGAAGCCGAGTTCGGAGCCTCTGTTAGGGAATTGCGGAGGCGCCACGCAGCTGGAATGGCGAGAAGGGGCTGCCAGTGGGTTGAGGTGGTTTTTATGCCCACCCAACCCCACTAGGCACCACTGCCCCCTTCTCAGCTCTCCCAGGCCAGTTCCCCTCCACCCTGGGGAGAGGTCAGCACCCACCTGAGCATGCAGCGTCTGCAAGGTCGGGAGCAGGGGAGTTTGGCAGAGGTCCTGGAGGGGCTCCCAAAAATTGATATCCCTCTTAGGGGCTCTCCACTTGGGTCCTTCCTTGGGTTCAGAGGTGGGAGAAGGGCCTGTACAGTGGCTGGGTGTCCATGATGTCTCGGTGCGTTGCAGGGAAAGGTGTGCTTGGGGAAGGCCTCTGTCTGTCCATCCATCTGTGCAGGGGTCTCTGGAGGAGTTGCAGTGCAGTCAGCTAGGAGGGGATGGGGCAGCAGGGTCACTTTGTCCCAGAGAGGGGCTGTGCTCTGTCCATGAGCGAGAAGAAGGGGAGCCAAGTGGCTCAAGGTCTCAGATGATGTCACGCTGGTCCCGGCAACGCCGTGACAGGCAGTAGAGCCCGGAGAAGAGATACAGGCAGGCAGTGATGCCCCCGCAGACAGAGGCACTCAGGTAGGCACCGTAGAGGCAGTGCTGGCTGTAGCCTGGAAGGTTGCAATAGCTTCTCTGACCGGCCTTGTGGCCCATGATGCCAGTGGCAGCTGCATAAAGCCCCACACCCAGCGCCAGGTCGTGCACCAGGTTGGTGAGGAGCCAGCGGGAGCCCAGCCAGGGCACCAGCTCCCAGCGCCCCAGCAGGCTCAGCCCGAAAAGGGCCAGGGTGAGGAGCCAGACCAGGACGGCGGCGAAGAGGGCGAAGTGGGCCGCCCCCTCGTACTTGTTAGCCGCCACCGTCACCCAGAAGGCAGCGCCCAGCGCCAGTTGACCCAGGCGCAGCAAGCCCAGCGGGCTCCTCAGGTAGGCGCGGTGGAGGCTGAGCGAGCCGCGGGCCGGCGGCCCCGGGGGCGGCGGCACTGACGGGGGAGCCGTGCGAGCCATGGCGCGGCCCTGACTGCTCCGGCGCGGCTCGGGCGGGACTCAGGGCCCCGGCAGCGACTTCCTTCCCCGGCCGCTGCCAAACATCTGGCACTTTTACGGTCCTCCCCGCGCGGGGCCTCTCTCCTCTCCTCCCCGCCCCGCCTCCGCCTCCCGCCTGACACCCGAGGGCCGCCGCGGATGCCGCCGTCAGGCACGAACCGCCGTGCCCCTTCCGTCCCGCCGCCGCCGAGGGAGCCCCTCCGCAGGGCGCGAGAGGCGGCGGCCAGTGTCGGCAGCGAGTCCCGGGGACAACGCACAGGGACGCTGCGCGGCGGCCGGCGGGGGGCGCGCTCAGGGGTTCCCCCCCTACGTCACTCGGGATTCCCCTTGGAGTGACGCGCGCCGTGGCTCCGCCCAGGGGCGAGGGCTCGCCCGCTGCCCGTGACGTCACCTGCGCCACGTGGCCCCCTCCGACAGGCGGTGCGGCCGCGCCCCTCGGCGCCGATTGGCCCTGGTAGCTGGGGGGCGGGCGGGGATTGGCCGCGGGGCGGGCGCGGGGCGGGTGCGGGGCGGTGGGGGGGGGGGGTGGGGGCGTCGGGGGGGCGCGGTAGGCCGCGGGGCGGGCGCGGGGCGGGTGCGGGGCGGGCGCGGGGCGGGCGTGAATGAGCGGCGCGCGGGGCAGTGGCGGGACCCCGGCGCGGTGGCGCGAAGCGAGTCCGGGAGCGCAGCGAGTGCTGGGCGGACCCGCCACCGCCAGGTCTGTGCGAGGGGCCGTCGGGCGCGGGGCGGCGGCGGAGCGAAAGTGGGTCACAGCGGGGCCCAGCGCCCTAGGGCAGGGCGGGACCGGACTTGCGTGCGCCAGCTCAAGCCGGGGCGCCTCCCGCGTTCCTGGGCGGCCCCGCCCGCGCGGCTGGACTCCTGCCCAGCGCCCTTCCCCACCGCCCGCCCTTCCTCACCGGGCATCCGCGCAGGATCCCCGGGGAGGCGGGCCGGGCCGAGCGGCGAGAGCGAAGCCTGACACCGTCTCTTCGGTGCCTGCAGCGGCCGGGGCCATGGGCACGCCGGCCTCTGTGGCGAGCGACCCTCCGGGGCGGGCGGCGCCAGCAGCCCGCGGCCGTAAGCGGGCCTCGGCCAACATCTTCCAGGGCGTGGGACTGCTGGAGCTGCGGAGCCTGTTCCAGAGCGGCGGAGCCGAGCGGCCGGAGGAGCGTGCCCGCCTCGTCTGGCGGTATGCGGGCCAGCGGCGCATGGCGCGGGCCCTGCGGCGGCTCCGGCGGCGGCGAACGGCCCGGCCCGGCGGCGGGATGGCGGCGCTGCGGCGCTTCGGCCACCTGCGGTAGGTGTGGGCCGGGGCAGCGGGGAAACCGGGGGAAGCCCGGCCGGACCACGCCCCTAACACAGGTTTCTTCCCTGTAGGATCGCGGAGAAGGAGCTGGAGAGCGACTGCAGGGCCCAGACAGGCTTGGGGTCCGTGTAAGCAGCGCTGAGCGGCCGGGGCAGTGGAGGGCGGCTGCTGGAGAGCGGGTGTCAGCACTGCCGGGCTCTCCGAGGACACTAAGTGTATTGGGCAGGGTGCAATGAATGGTTAATAAAGGGTGGATAGTGGTGGCTGTGAGGCTCTGGCTGTGTCCTGCCCATCCTGGCCTTCCCTCAGGGTGGCAGGACTGGGGTCCAGGCCACTGTACTGCACGCAGTGCAATGGGAACAGCCTCACAGAACGGGTCAGGTTGGAAGGGACCACAGTGGTCATCTGGTCCAACCTCCCTGCTTAAGTAGGGTCATCCTAGAGTACATTGCACAGGATTTCATCCAGGAAGTTCTTGAATATCTCCAGTGGGGGATTCTCCACAGCTTCTAGGGGCAGTGTGCTCCAGCGCACGGTCACTCACAGTGACTGCCCTGGCACAGTCACAGGGACAGCTGGAGAACAAGCTGCATGCTGCCCTGCAGGACAAGAACTGCTCGGAAGAGAAACAGAGATTCTCCAAGGAAAGATTTCTCTGCTGGAGGACCAGCTGGCCAAGCTCCCTCTCCAAGAGCCACTGGGCCTGGGAGAGGCTGGTGCAGGACCTGCAGGCACAGGGTGCAGAGGGGCAGGCTGGGCAGCTGGCCCCCCTCAACACCCAGCATGAGCAGACCCTGTGGGAAAGGGTCTTCCCAGCAGCAACTCTGCAGCTGTGAGAGACCAATGCATCCCTGAGCAGGTATCCATGGATACCAGCCAGGCCACCTTGTCCGAGGAGCCCCAACCTGCTCTAGGGTGCAGTAGCGACACAGATGTGGCCGGCTGAACGGCAGCTGTTATTCAGACAGTTGCATGGTTTAAATACATTACATACATTTCTACAGTGCATTAGAACAATACATTTTGGGTCAGTCAGATGCAGCTGGGCCTGGCCGGGGAGCTGGGGTCTCCACTGCTGCCCCCCCCGTGCTTGCACAGCCAGTGCTGAGCACCCTACCCATTGCAGGAGACAGGGGAGCTGCTCTCCCCTCCCAGGCCCACACAGCAGAGCCCCAACCTGCCATCATCCCCCTCACTCCCCGAGGATGGGCTAACAGGACAACAAGACCCAACACCAATTTCCCCCAGCAGCAGAAGCCACAGCTCAAGGCAAGCAAGTGCAGGCAGCAGCCCTGATACTGTTCCGTACAACACAAGCTCAGCAGCTGCTGGGGAGAGGGGGGCTCCCTGCCTCCCCCACCCACAGCGAGCCTGTGAGATTGTCAGCTCCAAGGCAGCCAGGAGTCCATGCTGGTCCCCTAATGCACCCACCCATGTGGCAGAAGAGCCCCTCCAGCCCTTCCCTGGCAGACCCCTGCCCCTTGAGGGGGTCCCTAGGCACAGACAAGGCTGGCACCATGCTGGCTGCACAGCAGCCAGGCAGCTTGCTGGGAGCAGGGGAAAAAGCCAAGCGAGAGCAGCTGTGGAAACCTGGCAGGAGAAATGGACTGGGGTAGCAGAGGGGGAGCCACCTGCTCTTCACAAGGATAATCCAGCACCTCTTTCCCCTTAGTGTCTAACTGCACCCAAGCCAGGCCCATGTGTTGTCCCTCTTATGTCCCCTCCTCGAGCCCCCAGCCAGAGAACAGCCATTCATTGTGGTCCCCGCTGCACCCGTGGGCAGCAGGAACTCCCCCTGAGGAAAGCAGTGTGCACGGGGTTGGGGCAGAGGAGGGACAGTGCAGGAGTACACCACACCCTTAGGAAAAGGGAGGGGGTATCACCTTCTACAGGCCTTCCCAGCCCAGCGGCTGGCACGGTGGGAAAAAAAAAGGGCCAGTGGCTGGTGTAAAGGGCTGGACGGATCCTGGCCTGGGCAAGCCTGTTCATCAGAGCCCCATGCAGAGGTGCTCAGAACCGCATGCAGGCCAAGGAAGGGAGGCAGGGGCAGGGTCCCAGCCACGCCACAGTTCCCAGCGGATTCCCACACCTCCCCTGGCCTCTGCCCCAGACAGGGCACCGAGCTCCAATGGAGCTGGGGAGGGACCATGCCCAACCTGCCTGGCTCCTCCAGTTCAGCTGCAGGTTCCTCCAGCTGCACCTGCTCGCTCTACCCTGAAGGTCAAGTCCCAGCCACAGAAGCCAGCAATGGCCCAGCTCCTCTTGCAGTGCTAGTCCGAGATGGCCAAGCCCTGTCTGTGGCTCCCGCAGCTACCACCATGAGAAGAAAGGCTTCCGGCTCTGGAAGCTCTGCGTGTAGGACTCACTGGCAGAGCGCTGGTGGGAACGCGCTGTTTCCACAATCACAGGCGGCATCTGAACCAGGTGCAGCGGGCTCTTCCCGTCTTTCAGCGCCTGCGTCAGGTTCAGGATCTGTATGGCACAACAGAGCAAAGCCTGAGCTGCCCTGCAGGAGCAACAGAGAGCATCCACTCCAGCACCGTTCCTGCCACACAGGCAGGACGAGACTCCACCTCTGCCTTCCCTACACACAGCTTACCTGGCCTCTCATGACAGCAATCTGCTTGTGAAACTGTCCTCTGTCAAAGCCAGGGTCTTTCTGCAAAAGAGAGAACACAGTGGGATCCATCCACTGCCTCATGCCATGCACAAGATGACTGCTCCTCAAGTAAGCCTCTCCCCCTGTCCCATGGGTTTCCTGCTTCTCCCCATGCTTAATCTTCAGCTCCTGGTAGAGTGAAAACCCTGCTATGCCTCAGCCTGGAAACACTGTCAGGAGCTTGGCCACCGTTCTTTCCCCTGCAGCCTTGGGAGCTCCCCAACACCACTCCCACTTTCCTTCCTCCCATATCATCTTCACCCACTTCCCCAGCACACCTTGAAGAGCTCATACAGATCTTCCTCCAGGTCCTTGACAAAATTGGGGTCTGAGATCTTGGGAAGAATCAGGTCCTTGATCTCCTGTGAAAAGGGGATTTTGGCCTGGGGAAGCCACGCCCAGTAGAAGGGGTCTGTGGGAGGAAGCAGAAGACATGAGAAGTTGGGAAGGCAAAGCACAGTGCCACATGCCCCTTGATCCCCTGCATCTGGGACCCAAGGTCCAGCATCAGCCTCCTACAGTCTCTGCTGAGAAGGAACTTCCCATGAACCCAGAGATTTGCAGAGGCACAGCCCTAGTCCTCTCCTCTACAGTCCTTAAGGAGGATGCCCAAGCATGGAGTTGTATGGCTTGCCACAGTGTCCTGGCACAGCCTAAGGGACTCACATGCTCTCCAGGAGTCTGGGTGTTTCAAGGGAAAGGCCAAACCGTTGTCTATAGCAGCCAGCTTGATGATGGGCTCCTTCACCACCACCCAGTCACTGTCCTGGAAGGAAGCAAAGCATGTCATAAGGAGGCCCCCCCCAGCAGGAAGAGTCCCTCTCCCACTCCAGCGCCACTGCCAGGATCTTTGCCCTGGCTACCACAGAGGCACAGCAGCCCCTTGCCTTGTAGCATAGCCCCTTGCCCACAGGGAAACATTATCTGTTTCAGGTGGGAGGGGAACAAAGCTGCTTCCCCCCAAGGCCTCACTCAGGATTCACAGGTCCAGTAACACCAGTTTCCCCCACAGAGCATTCTCACAAAGTCCCACCAGGCCACAAACCACCAACACAAAGGGTAACAAAAGGCCCAGGAGACAAGATCAGGTGTCCACACGCTTGGAACCCAGATGGGAAATTCCTGTCCGGCCTGACAAGCAGTCAGCTTCCAGAAGCAGAGTCCTCATGTTGCCCCTGCCCAGGAGGAGCCACTCACCCGCACGCCTGCGCTGTCCAGGGGACAGTCATACTTGATGAGCCAGTTGTCATTGCCCCGATCTGCAGGGAGATAAAACCAGCTGCGTCACCACCAGGGCCTCCCTGCACCGTGCTGGGCAGAAGACTATTCCTCCTCTGACCCAGAAGTGAGACAGAGACATTCTAGGCCCAGAGACCTTAAATTTGCTGTGGGCCTGGGAAGTCACATCAACCCTCACAAAGCTAGCCCTGGAGGTCCACGTATTCCCAGCTTGCAAGAGAAATGTCAGCCTGCAAGCCCCAGAGTGCAACCCCGACCCTTCCAGCCAGGCAGGAACTCAGGAACCCACTGTGAGATGCGATATAGAGGCACAGCCAGGTGTTGGATCTCTGGATGTCCCTGGAACCTCACAGCTGGGAAACTTTCAGCCAAGCACAGTGGTGGATCCAGATCTGCTAGAACGCAGGCCAGCAGCCAGAGCCCCCAGTGCTGGATGGCCGCAGCAGCTGCACTCTGCCCAGAGGCAGATGTCATCTGGCAGCAACTGAGTGGCACTGAGAAGAATTTCAGGTGCTGGGAAAAGCCAAGACCCTATCTCCCTCCCCTTTCTTCAACATGATAGGACATGACGGAGCAGGCAGCATCCCACACCAGGCAGCTGGCCCTACCTGTGTTCCTGATGATGTAGTCCAGCACCACCAGCCGCTCAAACTGCAGCAGCAGCTGCCGGTTGGTGTTCTCCGGGAGCGGCTCAGCCTCAAACCGCCGCAGCCAGTAGTCAGCATCCTTGTAGCCTTCCACAAAGAGCTGGAAGGAGCCCACCTGAGGCAAGGAGAGGCTGTGTCACGGAAGGCCACAGAGGGCAGGGAGGTGCCGGTAGGCAGGTGTGCAGGCTGGCAGCCCTACCTTGGGTGGCAGACCAATGCGGTTGAAGCGCTGGCCGACTTTTGGCACCTTCTCCAGGGCCAGCCTCTTTCCTCGGGACTTCACCCTGTCGATGGCACTGTAGTTAAAGGTCTCACTGGCCAGATACACCACCTGGGGGGATAGGAGCGCAGTCACAGGACTGCCTGATAAAACCAAGACACAGCATTTCTCACAGCTCTGCCCAGGACAAGCATCCCCACAGCTAGAGCAGGAACAGTCCTGGTCTAGAGCTCTCAATCTACGAGGTCAGCAGTGCCACAAGACAAGACACAAGCAGAGCTGTGTGGAAGCACACAAAAGCCTTCCCAGAAAAAGATCCCAGCAGCTTTCCTCTCACCTTTGTGCGGGGAACAATGTTGAGTTCCAGTTTTTGGTCTACCAGGCTGGCACCCGCCTCTGACAGGTAGCCCTGGTTCAGGACCAGGCAGTCTCTCCCAAAGCAGCACGGGCAGCACAGCTTCTGCAGCCACTTGGTCCACTTGGGGTTCAGCTGCCCGTATGGCTCCTCATTCTTGGGCTTGAAGACGCCAATAATTTTCTGTGAGTGGGAGGGAGGAAGGCTGATTCCAGGCAGTTGGCAGAGGTGGGACACCTCCCCCAGCCCACAGTGGGGACATTCAGGAACAGGCCCAGAACAGCCCTTCACTGGGACCAATAACCAACCCCTGGGACCAGGCAAACCCTGCAACTCCCAGGAGGGAGGCAAACAGGGGATGGGAGGGACTCCTGCCCAACCAGTGACCCATTCCACAAAAGTGGGGTACTGCCCAAAGACCTTGTCCGAAAAAAACACCAGTGATGATGCAGTCCCCTGGTAAACACACCAGTCCCATTCCAGTAACCTTTGGACGGCCAGAGAATGTACTGCTCATTGTTGGTCATTACATCCACACAGAAAAGGGAGGGAATAGCAATTTTTGCCCCGGCTCCAAAGTCCATGGAACAGAGCTGATCCCCAACTGACCAGAGAAGGGACCAGCCCAGGCAGGGCTCTGTGCTGGGGACCCAGCAGAGACAGCAGAGGGGCTGGCTCTCCCAGTCAGCTGTGTATGAAAGAGCACAGGTGGCTTCAAACTGGCAATCAGATGGTACCAGCAGCACACTCAGCCCCTCAATCCAGCCTCGCACACACTGACCCGACAGTGGGGGCAACAGCACAGAGGGCACAGAAGCCTTGTGCTTCACCAAGCCAGGGTTGCAAAGCCACACAGATGAGACAAGGGCTAGGGCAGGAGAAAGACTACCTGTCCCCAAAGGCCAGGGATCCCTGGGGGGCTGCGCAGCAGCTCCAGGCTGGCAGCCCCCGCTCCAGGGTGACTCAGGAGCACATGCCACAAGCCCTCCTCCCCAAGGCTGGTGCCAGTCATGGCCTGAGTGGGTGACACTTCCCCAAGCTGAGCTCTTGTCAGAATGTGGAAGTTAAATATGAGTTTCGGCACCTCAGCAGGGAACCCCAGTGCAATCCCAGTCTGTCAAGGGCCAAAAGCCAGCCCAGGGCAGGCAGAAGCAAGGTTTTGTCCACTAGGAAGAGGGACAGGAAGGGTTTGAGGGAACAGGATCACTTGAGCCAGGATCACAGCCCAGATCACATGGTGGAGCCACTTCCACTAGGCAGGCAGGCAGGCAGGCAATCCCCTTCACCAGCCCCACGTGAAGGCACACAACTGCCAACACGTCCTTGGATATGAGCCTGCAAAGAGGCTTGTCAGGAGCTCTGGCAGGACGGAGCCCTGTGTTCTATGGAGCCATTCCAGCAGAGCAAGGCCCAGCTAGGCAGGGACAGCAGGAAAGCGGTGGCCAGAGTTCTGGCAGCGCAGTGTTCCCTTCCAGACAGACCTGTGCTGGGAGCAGCACTGGCAGGGAAAACAGGTCTGCCTGGTGCCAGCAGCAGAGCAGAGGGAGCCCAGCCAGCACAGGAGCACAGTCAGCAGTGGGGTGACCACAACCCTAGGGCTGGGTAGCACAGCCTGGTTGGGACAGCTCAGACCCCAGAAGCCCTGAAGGAAGCAGACACAGAGGAAAGGTTTTCCCCCCAATATCCTCCCCCTGCTGCCCACAACATCCACACACTGCACTCTCTCCCATGCCAGTAGTGGGACATTTTTGGCAACCATAGACAGAAACCAGTCACACACCAAATTTGCTGACAGCAGGGCAGTCCAGGGGACCTGCCAGGTGACAAGGCCGGGATTACACAGGCTTTGGCTCCTCGCACTTATGTTCCACCAGCCCTCCTTGAGCTCGGGTCTCCTACAGCCAGGCAGCCTCTGCCCTGCCACCCCCAGGCAGCTCATCCGGCCACCCACCCCAGTGACTCCAGGTCTCATATTGGGCAACAGGAGGGAGCAGGAGGGAGCAAGGCGGTGTCAGGAGGAACTGTGTATTTCTCCAGGGACCACCAGCTCAGCTGGGACCTGCCTGTCACAGCTCCCAGGAGCCAGGCTTCACTCAGGGCAGGAAAACTAGAGCACATCAGAGACCAGAGAGCCCAGTCCTGCTCCTCAGGAAGCATCCCACACACAACGTGGTGAGGGAGTCACAGGAAGCAGCAGCAGCTCAAATAATTGGTCTGGGTGCAGCAGGTCACAAGACAAGCCAGCCTGTGCTGCAATACATCCAGTCAGCAGCACAGAGATGGCTGCCCCACAGCTGACCAGGTCTGTGGGGGACCAGCTACATGCCAAGGACTTTGCCTCCACTATAGCAACAATACAGCCACAGAGGAGACATCTCACTCCTCTCACAGGCCAAAACCAGCTCAGCTCACAGAGTCACAGGCCTAGAGCTGGAGTCACCACGGTTAGGAGATGCACAGACCTCGGAGAGAGTGTGACCTCTCCTCTGTGGGCACGAGAGCCACAGAAGATGCTGAATCAGCACTTGGACACACCCACCCCCCATTCTGGCTGCTGGTCCCACTGCACTTCTCGCCAGGGAAGCTCAGACCAGCTCCCCACGGCCGGTAACCCCCGGACCAGCACCATGAGTTCTCCCTGCAGGAAACCCCTCCGCAGCCCGCAGGCCCCGAGGACCACGCGGGGCCGCGCCCGGCTTACCCCCTGCGGGTCCTTAACGAAGTAGCTGCCGCTGGAGCCCTGCGAGATGCGCTCGGGAAAGATGCCGCGCTCGCTGGCCAGCTCAGCCCGCCGCACCACCTCGGCGAACTCGGGATCCTCGGGGAAGTCGTTGCGCTCTCGCTGGGCCGCCGCCGCCGCTTGGGCTTGGGCCTGCGCCGCCGCCTGGGCCTGAGCCTGGGCCTGCGCCGTCGCCGGGCCCCGCGCCCCGCGCTCCAGCAGCGGCTGCCGCTCGCGGTCACGACCGCCGGGGGAGCCGGGAGGGGAGGGCGGGAGGGGTGCGGCGGGCGGGAGGGCGCGCACAGCGCCCCCCGGCAGCCCGTAGTCGGGACCCTGCGCCCGCTCCGGCGACACCAACGGGCTCGTCTCGTCCATCGCGCCGCCCGCCCGGCCCCGCCGCGCTGCCGCTGCCGCTTCCGGCGCGTCACCGCGCCGCCGCGTCCCGTTGGCTGCCCCGCCCCCCGCCGCGCCACGCCCAGTTGAGGCGCTGCGACGGAAAGCGGGGCGGTGAGTGCGGCCGTGGTGCCGGTGGGGCCAGCCCGGAAGCCCCTGCGCCTCTCACCGCCCGTCCTGGGAGCCGTGCGGGGGTTCACCGCCCTCACGCCCCCGCTGTGGCGGCTGGCGCCAGTGCCCCACATAAAAATGGCCGCCCCGGAGCGGCAGAGACCACTGCTGCCCTTCACAAAGATGGCGGAGGCAGAGGGGGTGCTGCTCCTCGGCAGACACGCCCGGGGTGGGGAGCGCCTTGCCCCACACAAAGATGGCGGCGAGCGAGGGTGTGCTACGGAGTTGGCCAATTAACAGCCGCGTTGCTAGCGGTTGCCGTGGAGACAGCCAACGGCGAGAGGGGATGGACGCTGGCGGCGTGGCACCGCCCGGCGGGGCGGGTGCTGGAAGGGGCGGTGGCGGCCACCGCCCCTTGGCGGACCTGGTGGGGAGCGGTGCGGGCGGACAGCGCGGATCCAGGTGAGCGCGGGCCGCAGGCCCCTGCGCCGCTCGCACCGCCCGCACCGCCCCCGGGCAGGCACCGGGCCCGCGACCGTCGCCACGAGCGTCCCGCTGGTGGGGCGTGCGTGCATCGGCCGTGGGTGCATGGACATTGCAGGGTGTGGGTGCATGGACACTGCAGGGTGTGGGTGCATGGACACTGCAGGGTGCGGGTGCATCCCCCTTGGGTGCATGGACACGGCAGGGTGTGGGTGCATGGACACGACGGCGTGCCAGTGCATCCCCCGTGGGTGCATGGACACGACAGGATGTGGGTGCCTTCACCGTGGGCGCGGTCACGCCTCCGGGCACACTCCCGGCCTCAGGAGCTCCACGTCGTGAAGTCCCCCGTGAAGTGTCACAGGCCGTGCTGGCGGAGTTCGCAGCCCCCGGCAGCCCCCGCCCCTCCGCCTGGCACGGCTGGGTAGGCTGCGGGCTGCGAGCCGGCGATGAGCTCCTGGGTGCTGCCGTCGGCAGAGAGCACTGTTCAGTCGCTGCTCGCCTCGCCTGGGGCCATTTCTCTGGACACAAAGCCTTGGCAAGTTCGTGCTGTGCTCCTGGGTTCGTGTGGCTCAGCACGCACCGCTCGGGTGGTTCGCAGCAGAGTGTGAGCAGATACACTCCCTTTACGTGCGGAGAGTCCCTTCCCATCACGGGCACTGCTTGAGCCGCACCGGCAGCTGCGGGAGAGGCAGCGCCCAGCCCGCCCGCGGGGCTGTCTCCGTGCTGGTGCCTTCCCTGTGTGCTGGGGAGGGCTGTGCTGCGTGGCAGCGGCTCTAGGGGAGTACAGTTTCCGAGTGCTGCTTGCTGTCTGCAGGCAGGTTTGTAAGCCTGAGTAGTGGAGCAAAGCCCTGAAGCCTCAGGGTCCTCTCTCCGCTGTCCCTTTTAGGAGGAGTGGCCTCCCATCCCTGGGAGTGAGCCGGGTTTGCCCATCCTTGATGCTGGAGCTGGAAACGCCACAAGCTCTCTGTTCCCTCCCGTGAAGAGCTGGCACCAAGCACAACCCAGCATCTCCTCTCCAAAATTCCTGTTTCTGCCTGGGACTGCCCAGGCCCCTGGCCTGAGCCTGCATGATGCAGGACCCCTGGGATTCTGCCTGAGTGCCAGGCCAGAGACAGACAGCTCCTGCCACACTGCTCTTCCTGCCGTTCACTCACATTTCACAGGGCTGTGACCCCCGTGGGCTCACATTGCTCTGAACCCTGCAGTGGGGCGGGCAGCAACCCGAACCTGGCAGCTGGGGTTTCAGAGCCAGGGCAGGGTGGTTGTGCTCCTGGGGTCACCTCCTCATCTGCACCATGCCTCAGCAGAGTCATCCCCGGGGCAGGCAGGTGCCTCTCATCTCTGTGAGATGAGGAGATGCAGGGGCTCTCGGCAAGCTAGACTGCTCTCCCTGCCCAGCAGCTCTCTGTGCCTCTTCCCGCCAGCTCTTGCCCTGCTTTGCCGGAGGCTGTTGCCATGACACTGACTAAAGGCTCCTTCACCTACTCCAGCGGGGAGGAGTACCGCGGCGAGTGGAAGGAAGGTGAGATGGGGCAGGAGGGGACGGTGCCATCTGTGCTGTGGGACAAGCAGCCCCCATATCCCTGCCTAGCTCCACATCGGGGTAGGTCCTGCCTCTGTCCAGCACTGCCCATTTCTGCCCTCACCTAGGTCGCAGGCACGGCATTGGGCAGCTGACGTTTTCCGACGGCACCGCCTACGTGGGGCACTTTGAGAACGGGCTGTTCCACGGCTGTGGAGTGCTCACCTTCTCTGACGGCTCCAGGTGGGCACTCCTACGTACACCTCTCCGGGCACCCCAACTAGCTGTGGGGAGCTGCTGCCTCAGGAGCTCCTCCCCACTCAGATACGAGGGGGAGTTTGTGCAGGGCAAGTTCAATGGCGTTGGAGTCTTTACACGCTGCGACAACATGACCTTTGAGGGCGAGTTCAAAGGCGGGCGCGTGTACGGCTTCGGTGAGTGCCTGGTGGCGTGGTGCAGGCATCCACACAGCCCCTGCTCAGCACAGCCCCTTCCAGCATCTCCCAGTTTGTCCTTTCATCCCCTGCCCCCATCCCCAGTGGGTGCTTCTCCTTGCCCCTTCACTCCCAGCCCTTCCCTCCTCTTCCCAGGTCTCCTGACTTTCCCTGACGGCTCCCACGGGGTGCCCCGCAACGAGGGCTTCTTTGAGAACAACAAGCTGCTGCGGCGGGAGAAATGCACAGCCATCATCCAGAGGGCCCAGGGTGCCTCCAAGTCTGCCCACAACCTGACAGCATGACGGTGCCCCACATCCCCTTCCGCCAGAGCAGGGACCCCTCTGCTTGGGCACTGGCTGGCCCTGCTGGCCCTGGAGAAGGGATGTGGCACTGCTGGGTGCCTCCTTGCCCTTTGTCCCCACCAAGCATCCTCCTGCCAAACCCCTGCTGCTGGAGGGGATGGGACCCTCCGCTCTCCACCCAAGTGCCCTGGGGCAGCCATGGTGCCTTCTCTTTCTGGCTGTAGCCCTGGCACCTGCTGGAGCAGCAGGAGGGCAGGGTGGTTGGAGCTTGGCCTCTCTGTCTCCCAGAAAGACTGTGGACCACTAGGGCTGCAAACCTGCTGCAGAGGATGGAGCAGTGGGACAGGGGCTGGTCCCTGACCCCACTGCCAGGGTGCCTTGGCTGGGAGCTGCTGGCTGGACAACGTGCCCCCAGAAGGGCAGTTCCTGGCTCGCTTCGCTGCCCTGGTCTGGAGGCAGGATGGGTACCCTGGGCACGCTGTGGTCTGTACCCTCAGTTCTGGGTGACTGGCCATCCCCCTGCATGCCCTGGGTAGGGTGGCATGGTGTCCTGGAAGAACCCAGCCTGCTCTCGAGGCCAGCCGATTCCCCTCATCCCTGTGCTAATCCGCCTCACCCACTGCCTTGGCAACACCAGCAGCAGCATCCCCACCAAGGGGGATGGGGAGATGCCCAACCTGGCTCATATCTGCTGCATGCTGGTGGAGGGTGGGAGCAAGGAGCAGGGTCAGCAGGAGCCTGGTAGGAGGGTCACAAGCAGGACTGAGTGGGGTGGCAGGACTGGAGCAGGAGGCCTGGGCAGGGTGGAAGGGTATAGAGGCATGGCGAAGGGGCAGGCAGGGGGAACACAGCTCCCCATTTTGCCCTCCACATGCATCCTTCATCTCTCTGCTGCATGCTCACCTTCACCCCGGTGTGCTCCGGCTGGCTGTGGTGCAGGGGTCCTGGAAGCCCTCACTGCCTGGTGCGGGGCCGCAGGGGCCATACCCTCCCTGCCAGTCTCTACCCACACCGGTCCCGTGCCTTGCCGTGACCCTGCCTTGTGCTGCTGCCTGCACGGGCCTCAGCTGAGTAAACCATGTTGCCAAACGCCTGTGCCATGTCCTTTTTGCCGGGAGCAGGGACGGGGCAGGGGGCTTGTCCAGGCAGGACTGCAGACACAGAGGGAGGACAGCCATTTTATTCATGGCACAAGGATCCACCCCTTCCCAGGTGAGAACAACAGGCCCCTGGGGGCTGGCAGGGATGCAGGCTGGCCAGGGGTTGCCCCCTTTACCCGCTCTGCCCAGCACAGCCATGTCCCAGTGTCCCCACCATGTCCCCCGTTCCTGGGGTCCCTGACTCCTGTGCCTTCCCAGTGTGAGAAGGGGAAGATGGGGGACCTCTTACAACCAGCCATTGGTGCTGAAGGTGTTCCTCAGCTCTTCAACCTGGACAGGGCTCAGTGGGGCCAGGGGTGCACGGCAGGGACCACCGTAGTAGCCAAACCACTCCATGGCCTTCTTCAGCCCCGGAACTCCGAACTGGCGGGTGACCTGTGGGAGGGAGGATGCAGGAGCTTGCTCCCATGGGCCAGCATGCTTTGTGGGCTCTGCTTTGCAGCCCCTGCTCCTTGCTCACCATCGCTCCCACCCTCCACATCTGGGGCTGCAAGGCTGGGCAGGGTGTGAGGTGACTGCAGCACCCCATGAACTGCCCACCGTGGGATGGGGGTGCAGAGCACAGCTCCACCAGGGAGCAGCCCTGTGGCACGGTGGGCTCATTGCAACAGGGACAGGCCACTCCACAGTGGGCTGGGGGGCCTGGGAAGGAGCAGTTCTTCCCCCTATTGTTGCCTATAAATAACCAGCAAGGCTCTCAGAGTGGGTCAGGCAGGTGCCCACTGCCAGTGGACATGCAGTTCCTTAACATGGCAGGGCTGGCATTTCCCACCCTGTCACCTCCAGCCCGGCTCAGCTCACTGGCCAGGTGCTGTGCCATCCTGTCACCCTGGACCACTGCTCCACCCCCTGCAGCCCCAGGGACTTCCATCTTTTGCCTCCCCCTGGCTCTGCCATGGCCTGGCACCCCTTCCCCTCAGCATCCCAGGGATGCTGTCTGCTCACTGCTGTGTTGGGCTCGATGAGACGGTGCTGCAGGTCACGGGCCTCCTCCCACTGGCCCTTACGGCACAGGCGGTCCAGCTGGCACAGGGGGGCCCCCAGGATGTTGGCGAGGGCACAGACCCCCCCAGATGCACCTAAAGACACCAGGGCACACTGGCAGCCAGCGTGGCATGCTGTGCCCAGCCAGCACCTCCCAGGCATCACCACCCCTTACCTGCCTCCCCCTGCCCGCATGCACAGTCTCTGCCGGTGTCCCCAGGGCACCACCCTGTGCCCCCAGCCAAGGAGGGGCAGCTGCACCTACCCACAGCATAGCTTGCCAGCAGGAAGCCAGCTGATCCTGCCAGCACCTGGAAATCATCCTGCCTTGTCTTGTGGACCATCAGCCCCATGCGGGTGATCTGGGGAGAGACACGCTGTGCCCTGGAGCAGGCATCACCCGTCCCCCTCGCCACATGGTTCCTGCCAGCAGCGCTGGGGTCTGGGGAAGGGCTGCAAGTCCCAGCTCCCTCTTTCCAGCTTGGGGCCAGGTTTGGTGGCAGCCAGCCCTAGGAAAGCCCTGCTCCACTCACATCCCCACCGCTGTCCTTGATCCCAATGATGTTGGGGTGCTGAGCCAGGGTGATGACAGCCTCCATGGGCAGGTCCAGGCCGGTGTTGGCCGGGACACTGTAGAGCACCACAGGGATGGGGGATGCATCACCGACCTGCAGGCAGCCAGACAGAGCTCAGCAGCTTGGGTGGGTTGGAGACACGTTGAACATGCTCCCCATGCTGCTGCCCCAGCTGAGTCTGCCACAGGCCCTGGACATGGCTCACCTCCGTGTAGTGATGGACCAGGGCAGCACTGGTCATGGCCCCCCGGTAATAGCAGGGTGTCACAACCAGCGCCACATCAGCCCCCGCCTCTGCCATGCTGACAGTCATCTCAATGGTGGCCTGGGTGGCTGGGGACGAGGCAGAGGGGTGAGGGGTGCTCCGGAGGGGACGCATGCCCCCGGCACTGCCCACGCAGGCACTCACATTCACAGCCCGAGCCGGCCAGCAGCAGGCGGTCCCTGGGCAGAGCCCGGCGCACGCTGCTCACCACCTCCAGCCGCTCACGGGGCGCCAGGTAGGGATACTCCCCATTGGAGCCCAGCACCACCAGCCCTGGAACACAAGTGTGGGGAGAGTAGGGCTTGGGCACATGGGCAGAGTGCCAGGACTTCCAGGTACCCCCATCACTCTCACTCCCTTCTTTGCTGCTGGCACCCAATCAGGGCTCTCTCCAGCCCACAGTGTGCCCTCTTCCGCCTACATCCCTGCAGCCCCAGATCCTCTGGTCAGAAGAGAGGAGACCCCAGGGCACATCCCTGAAACCCCCAGCCTCTTCTGCAGCCCCTGTCCTATCATCAGTCCACCCTGGACAATCAACAGATACATATCCCATGAATGTGTGTGAGTGTGCACAGGAGTGCAAGCACACCCATAGGGCACAGGGTAGATGCAAGCCTGCAGCTACAGCTACATGTGGAGGATGTGTGCAAGCCTGCACATGTGTGGAGTGTGCATGCAAGCACACGCTGGCATGCGATGGGGGTATGCAAGGACACACACATGTGCCCAGGCACGTGCCATGCAAAGGGCCCCAGATGGGTCACCCGAGGGGTTGCCAGCTCTGGAGCAAAGTCCGGCTGGAGGCTGAGCACCCTTGGGAAGCTGGCAGGCTGCCCGCACACTGCCACACAGCCTCTATGGTGGGCAGGGATCCGACAGGAGCCTCCACAGAGAGGGAGCGCAGGCAACGCTTACCTCGGAAGGGGATGCTGGCGTAGCGGGACAGGTTCCCCTCCAGCTGGGCATAGTCCACCTCCTGTTTGGGTGAGAAGGGGGTGGCGAGGGGTGGGAAGATGCCCCTGAGGTCGAGTGAGGGCTCTGGTCCCTGAGGAGTGCTGAGCCCCCGGCACTGCCTGGGGGCTGTCCAGTGCAGAGCTGCCAGGGTGGGCCAGAGAGACGAGGCGAGGCGGGTGCTGAATGCCATGGTGGTCCGGGTGCTGCCGCTGGCTGTGCTGCCTGCCCCTGTTAATGTTTGACAGGGCACGTGAGAGACCCGCAACCCTGCTGGGCAGATGACATGGGGGGTGGTACCAGGTGAGCTCCGGATGCTCTTCCCCACGCCAGAAGCTGGCTGCAGGAGTTCAGCAACCATCCAGGTGAGCCCCAGCCACTCCAGCTGTGCTTTCCTTTCTGCTTGCCAGCCCTGGCAGCCGTCCCTCTGCCTCCTACAGGGTTGGACTGCAGGACCAGGGAGGGACCAGGCATTGCAGGCAGTCCAGGGGCTGTGGGCAGGGATCACCTGCCTCAGCTGTTAGTGTAGGGTCTCCTGTAAACAGGTGAGTGGGAGCATTTCTGGGTTGGGAGTAGTGAGTACTGTACTGAACAGAAAGGTCCCAGCCTGCAAAGGGGTCATGTGTCCCCAGGAATGGCTCCAGTGGGGAAGGCAGGAGGACAAGCAGCCATCCAGCCCCACAGAGTGGCTGCCCAGCAGGGGTACAATTGCTGCTCTCTGGCACGGTCCCAGCTGCCAGCACCACGTGGACTTGAGTTGAGCTGCCCTCCATGAATTTTTCCTCCCTGAGCTTGCCCAGGTGGTACTTCAAAGGACTGTGAGCAACCAGGGTGTCCTGCAGCAAGGATTCCTGCCCTTGAACCACTTGTGTTCTGGCGTCATGGTGTCACCAACACTTGAGTTCCTGTGATAGGAGGCAGGGCTCATCATGCTGCTAGGTAACCTGCTCCTGGGATAACCCAGCTTCCCCAGGCCCATCAACACCAGCACAGGCTGCCCAGCCCCACAGCACTCTGGAGTTGAATGCTGCTCTTTGATGACTTTTATTGACACAGACAAGTCTCATCCCTGGAGCCAAGCCTGATCCTTGGTCCTTTCCTGGTGCCATCATGCAGGGACCTCCATCTCCCCTTGTGGCTGCTCCTTGGTCTCCAGTGCCTGGCGCGTGTCCAGCTGCCACTGCTGCACCAGGTCTGTCGGGGTCTTGCCAGCCTGCAAGAGCAAGCAGAGAGAAGCTGGGGCTGGGGTGGTGCAATACGGTGGGTCAGCAAATGGCCTTGGTGCTAGCCCCCCATGCTCACCTCATTCTTGGCCATCATGTCAGCCCCATGCAGGATTAGTTTTTTGATGATCTTGTAGCGACTGAGCCGTGTAGCATCATGCAGCGCAGTGTCCCCTTCCTGTAAGAGACACAGTCTCACTGGGGATTGTGGTCCAGGAACAGGGATGCCCTGACTGTCCCCAGCTCCCAGCAGACCCACCCCCGCACGAGGACAAGGAGAACAGTGCTTGTCCCAGCCCTGGCTGTGGCTGCCACCACCCTGGGGCAGGGATGTGTGTGCCCAGATGTACCCCACTGTGGGTGCTAGGAGCCTTTGGAGGGGTCAACCAAGGGAGGGGGATCAGTGTTGTCCAGGGGTGCCAGCACTTACCCTGTCTGGGGCATTGATATCCACCCCACAGTGGATGAGGTGCTCCACGATGTCAAGGTGTCCGGTCCGGGTGGCCACATGGAGGGGTGTGCTGAGCAGCTTGAGAGGGGAGGTGGACATCAAGGGGGGGATCATCACCCACTCCTGTTAACTCAGCACAGGGCCAGCCCAGTCGCCCAGGGTATGCCCCTGCCCCCAACCCTGTGACCCCGAGCTCTGCCCTGCTCACCTTGTCCTTCACATTGAGGTCTGCCCCACGATCTTGCAGCAGCTTGACAGCGTCCAGGTGCCCGCCCCGGCAGGCCCAGTGCATGGCAGTGCAGTCCAGCTGGGCACACAGGAGTATGTTATAGCAGGGGACACCCCCACCCGGTGTCCATCCCCCACTCCAGCTGGTCCCTGTGCCCAAGCTGAACTTGCAGCTGAACCTCTGTGACAGGGACAGCACTGCCCCATTGCCCCATAGCAGGGACCTCAATCCTACTGTAGTTCCTACTGCACCATGCCCAGAGGCTCAGACATCATGGAGCTGGGCTCAGGATGCAGCCTCACCCGGTCCCTGAAGTCAACTGTGGCCCCACTGTCCAGCAGCTTCTGCAGGATATCCATGTGTCCCTCCAGCGAGGAGCGGTGCAGGGCTGTGCGGTGGAACTGGGGAACAAGGTGCCACATTGGTGGACAGATCCATCCTCCCCTGGTTGGTTGTACCTCCAGCCCTGTCCCACGGGTCACAGTCCCTGCCCACAGGCATGCCGGGGCATGGTTGTGGGACATGGTGCCAGGGCACAGGCAGAGGGCAGACAGTGGTTGTCGGGGATGCTACCTCATCACATGTGTCAGCGGGGCCACCATCTGCCAGGAACTTCTCAATGACATGCATCTTGCCCTGAACGGCGGCTCGCAGGAAGGTCTCTGGCTCCACAGGACCCACCTGGCAGTGGGACAGGCTCAGGGATGGGGCATCACAGGGGTGCAGGAGAGGAGACAACGTTGGGCGTCCCTGCCCTGCTTCCCCAGGGAGGTCCCTGACTGGCAGGGTGACCTGGGAGTGGCCCGTGGTTGCTCCAGCCCCCTCCCACAGCCCGGGACCCACTGACGTACAATCTCCAGGGGTTCAGGTGGCTGGGGGGGCTCGGGGGTGGCCGCCCGCTCTGCCTGGCGCTGTCGACGCTGCTTGCGGAGTTCAATGAGTCGTTGGATGCTCCCCACATCGATGATCTCTCGCCGCAGATCCACGGAACTCTTCCGCACCCTCTCCTGGCCCTAGCGAGGACATGCAGTGCCCCGTTTGACTTCTCTGTGCCCAGCTACCTCTGGCCCCCCCACACCCCAACCCCCTCACCTTAATGGCCTCGAGGCCCCAGTTCCTGGGGCCATGGCGTTTCTCCTCCTCCAGCTCAGGTGTGTTCATCCGCTCCACAGCCGGCGGCTCCCACGCACCATTCCCTTTGGGTCTCTGCACAGGCAGTGGGGGCTGCATGGTCCCGGCTGGGCACAGAGCAGCCCCACTGTCTCCATCCCTAGCCTGCCGGTGCACGTGGCTCTGGACACAGCTCCCAGCTCACCACTGAGCTCTACAGGCTGCCTGACAGCCCTTGGGTTTGCACTTGCCCACCCATTCTACTTGGCAAGCTGGGCACCTGCCCGCTGCTCAGCTCTGCCCCACGGGCAAGAGCTGCCAAGTTGGGAACCTGATTTCCCCAAGAGCCCTTGGCTACCTCACTGCATCCCGCAGGATGGCAAGGTCGGTGCCAGCCTCTTCACAACTGAGTCCCTAAGGATGGACACCGCGCAATGGGGTCCCTGCCACAGCCCAGGCAGGTCCCCCTGTGGTACGGACCCACCTTCTCCTCTTCCTCCTCCTCTGCCAGCTTCTGCTCGATGAGCTCCTTGGCCCGTTCCACATCCAGCTCCATGTCTGCCCACAGCGCACAGTCCCGTGCAGGATGTATCCTTTTCTCCTTGCCACCACAGGCAGGGAGTGCCCGGTCCTGGCTCCTGGTGCTGCCGGCAGCTCCACTGGCTGTGGGGCTTTATGCTGCCGGCCCCTCCGTTCCACAGCCCAAAGGCACCAACAGCTGTGGCTGCTCCACATGACTGGGGCAGCTTTGCCATGAGCTCACCCTCCTGCTTTCTGGTGGCCCTGACTCACCTTTCCAGCCCCGCTCTTAAAGAGACCCATTGCCACCCCACGGGTTGTCCAGTACTCCTGTATTTGTAATAGGGAGCTGGGGTACACAGAACTCATGGCAGCCAGTCAAGAGGCGCTCAGCAGAGCAGGGACATGATCCGGGGTCATCCCATAGGCACAATGCCTGTGCAACCCATTCTGGGCATCCAAGAAGCTTCCCATGGTTCCCTTTACCCCATCTCTGTGCAACCAGATGCTGCAGCAGCTACCAGCGTTGCCCAAGGCTTCCTGGCACCTGGGACTGGGGGGGCTACCCACTCCCACAGGAGGCAGTGGTCCTCTCAAGCCTCTCAGCCAGCAGCAGGCAGCATGGGATGCCAGAAGTCATGGCCCCTCTGTGCTGCTTTAGAGGATGACCTCAGGTGTGGAACATTCCGAGCAGCCCTGCCAAGGGTCTCTGTGGCTGTCTGGTCTCCTCCACTGCACACGGCAGCCTGGCAGCAGGACTGGCCTCACATGGAGATAACAGGCAGAGCTGGCAGCTATTCCCGGCAGCAGGAACATTGTTCAACCCTTCTGAGCACTCTCCCCTTGTAAGATGAGGCCAGTACTGCCCTGTGCCGGAACAGTTAATGCGCTGGGCACTATCCCTCAACACAGGACCTGGGGGAGGGACAGATGGCAACATGTCACTGTCACCGTCCTGAGCAGTCCCCAGGGCCACCCTCAGGTGACAAAGGCACTATTTTTACCAGGACAGACCATGAAGGTGGTCCTGGGATTTTCCCCCTCCATGGACTGTCCCACCTGGCCCCAGGGCAGACACAGGCTTAAACCTCCAGAGGGGAAGCATTGGGAAAGGGAGGTGGTCATCCCACACTGAGAAGCAGCCAGGATGACAGTGGGAGGATGTGCTGGGGAAGGGTCCAGGCAGGCAAAGGGCTGGAGCTGGCAGGACAGGATCAGGGTAGCACTAGGCAGCAGAGCTGGGGTGTCCAGGCTACCCTCGGCCACCCTATGCTTATCCTGACATGAGAGCAGATATAGGACAGGCATGGGGACCTCCTGGCACTGTGGGTGACAGCCCCCTCCAGCCTGTTCCTGAGGCCAGAGAAAGGATGAAAAGGCTTTATTGATAAATACAGACTATGTACAAAGGGGAGACATCTCCACCCAGCCCAGCATCCCACAGGTCTCCAGGCCAGGGGGAGCCAGAGCCCAGTGGGTCACAGCCTCTCCCCACCGGCACAGCCTGGCAGGAGCCCCAGCCCCAGAAACATTTGGTCTCGAACCTCCTGCAGAAAACACGGCGCCTGCCCGTGTTCCCAGGCAAGAGGGGCCACTGAGGTGGCAGAGCCCCATGCAAACCTTCCTGGCGGGTCCCCCTGGCAGGGGGCAGCCTCAGGGGGGAGCAGGGGCTGCTCCGCCTCCAGCAGGGCTGGAACATAGCATGGGACATCCCCAGAGGTGCCACTGTCCCCCAGCCCCTTCCCCTCTCCCCTCAACCAGTGGGGGGTGGCTCAGTTCCTGGGTGGCAGGGGTTGGTTGACGATCACTTGCACAACAAAATCCTTCTGGATCTTGGTCTCCTGCAGTCGTGTGCGGTCAGTGAGCAGCTTGCCTGAGAAAAACCAGCGCTGCCAGGCCAGGTCAATGCCCTCCTGTGCCTGCAGCTGCTTCTTCAGCTGCCCGATGGTGTCGCCCATGCTGGCGCTGAGCCGCAGGTCCTTGCCGGTGGAGAGCCGTACCTTGAGGGTGAACTCCCGCCGGGTATTGGGCAGGGGCTCAGCCGGCTCCACGGCCTCCTCCTCACTCCGTTCCAGGATCAGGTTGACGGGAGGTGCCAGGCAGTAGACAGGCAGCTGGTACCGGTTGCCCAGCTCATCATAGCACTCCGTCAGGGACCCTGGGGACAGTAGGATGATATGCTGAGGGAGGTCATCCCCATGGACCACCCAAATAGGGACAGGGCCACCCCACGCAGTGTGGCAAAGCCTGCCTTGGCCCCCTTGGCTGGGCTGAGCCATGTGGATGGCAGTTGTGTGTCCCTCTCCACTCCAGCCTAGGATCCTCGCGTGCCCAGATATGAGTCACTCAGCACCCACCCCACCCACACCCCCAAAGCTGACCCTCACCGTGGGGCAGGGTGATGCTGGCTCCATCGAGGATAGCCTGGGCCAGGCTGTGGTCATTGGCTTCCACGGCATAGGCAGCTGCCTTCAGGGCATCCCAGATCTCCTTGCGGCCCTCAAAGGCGGGTGCTGTGTCCCAAAACTCGTCCCGCTTGCTGCGCAGCTGCCCATCTGTCATGGGGTAATCGCTCTTCCACTTGGGACACTCCTTCTTCAGGGGCTCATTGCGGCCTGGGGAGGGGGGGATACTCAGCCAAGGGACAGGGCTCTCCCTTGGGCCCTGAGCCACCCATTTCCCCATATCCACATATAACTGGGGACCCCTCACACCCCAGCGAGGGTCTGAGGGATCACCCTGCCTGGTGAAGGACAGTCCCCACTGCAGCCGGGCAAACTGGGCTAGAGCTAGCCCTGCCCAAGATCTCACTGGCCCCATAGCAGTTGCTCCCGCAAGTGACACCCTTTGCCCTCAGAAAGGACAAGGGCTCTTGCCCCTATGTTAGGGGGACCAGTTGCTGCCCCATGAGGTGGCCACGGGGCCTCAGGGCCCTTTGAGGCAGAGCAGTATTTATAGCTTGGGGAATTAGCCAGGAAATAAGCTGGTCAGTCGGAATGAGAAGGGGATTACGGAGGCTGAGCTGCAGCAGAGGGGGGTCAGGACTTCACAGTCTCCTCTGCCCACCCCAGGATGACAGGGACCAGTTGCAGGCAAGACAGCAGGCACACAGTGTCCAGGGCATCAGGGGGGCAGAGGGCATGGAAGGTGGAGGGCTGCCAGCCCACAGCTGCCCCAGCAATAGGCTGAACTGAGCTGGTTCCCCACAAAACAGCCCCCAACCAAGTTCCCAGAGACCCTCAGCAGCCAGCACTGCTCAGGGATCTGGGCCACTCCCATGCCAGTCCAATACCACCATGCCCTTCCTGCACCGGGCTGTGGCCCCGTGGGAACAGCCCTGTCCCATCGGCCCCACGGCTGGGCCGGATGCATGGTGCAGGAAGGAGCTGTTATCACTCCCAGCTGAGCTGGGGACAAAGAGTGACAACAGCTCCTTCCTGTCACCCCTCTCCCTGGGGCCAGGCAGCACCCGTCCTGCATGGACAGGACACAGGGCAACTGAGGCTCCAGTCAGGCAGGAAGGATATCTGTGCCCATACAGTGACTTGCCAGGCAAGGTGATGCCACACACCACAGCCACGGGGGACAGCCACCACTGCCAGCTCTGGGTTGAGCCATGTTCCCCAGGCAACTGTTCTGGGGCAAGTGTGTGGTGACACAAAGAACTACATGACCTTTTTTTTTTTTGTACCAGCTCTGTCCCACCCCACCCAAGACCACTGGAGCCAGCATAGCATCTTCTTCCCAGTGAGAACCCATCCCAGAGCTGGACACACATGTGGCATTCACTCCAGAGATCCTCAAGGGGCACAGGAGCTCAGCTACTCCAGGGCTAGGCATTGAGCATCCCTGGCAGGCAGCATCCTGCCCGCATCCCTGGAGCAGCAAGGGCAGCCAGCAGCAGCCAGTGCTGCCGATTCAGCAGTCACGGTGCTGGGCCAGAGGGATTTGCAGCACCACAGGACAGAGCAAGGTCAGAGGCGGCACCTGCCCCAGGAGGGCAGTGTAGAAGTGGCCACAGCCAGCCTGAAGGACATGTCCAGGATCATGTCCCCACTCTGCTGTGGCCACCTGGCTGGGGCACGTGTCCTCACAGCCAGGATTCCCAACCAGTACCATTCCCTCAGCTCTGCTCACAGCAAAGGAAAGAGGCTGGCCCAGGGGAGGCAGCAGGATCAGAACCATGGGGTTCAGCCATGGCAGGGAGCAGGGACAGGCTGTGGCTGCCTCGTGTGGACAGGCATGCCCAGCAGCCTTGCCCAGGTAGACAGGGGCTTAAGCCTCGTCTATTTATTGCTGCCACCCAGTCGGGCTCCACACCTTCTAATCACCTCCCGCTGCTCTATTCCTGGCCCCTTGTGCAACCCTCCACAGCAGCACCACCAGACAGGTCCGTCCGCTCGCTGTGCCCGGACTCGAGCCAACAGGATCTGGCTGGCAGCCTGCCTGCCTCCTGCCCTGTGCCTGCAGCACCGTACCCGCAGCTTGGCCCCCCATGGTGCCCTGGTGTGCAGATCTCCAAGCAGGAGGCTCCCCTGCCCTGGGGCTTGCTCCCTGCCCAGCAGGAGCCCCAGGCAGCCCCAGCCAACAGGTCCTAGAGGAGGCCCTGGAGAACATGCCAGCCAGATGGTACACAACACCGCTTCCAGCAGTGCTGGCTGGTCCCTTCCTGGGCCAGGCAGGGTTGGGATGCTGCACGCCACCAGCATCCCCTGTTCCTGCTGTGGTAAGCTGGCCACCCCAGGGACAACACTGTCACCTGCTGCAGGGAGCCCTCACAGGACCCTTTCGCAGGGGGTCACAGCAAGCCCCAGCCAGGGCAGGAGCCAGCCAGGCAGATGCGCTGCTTAGCAGTGCCCCTCTGGCAGCAGAGGTGGGCAGGCAGAGGCCCCCTCCCCACCCGTGGCAGATCCTTGAGTACTGGGACCTGCTGACCCAGAGCAGTGTCCCTGTACTGCAGGTGAGGATAGCTGTAGCCTTGCTTCATCCTCCACCACCTGCTGAGCAGCTCCCATGGGCTGGTAGCACCATGAAAGCAATAGCGGGATCCAGCCTGGGCATCGAGGACAGCCCTGCTCTGCCAGGAAGGGACACACTGCAAGAACGCAGCAGCAGCTGCCAGGGGTACCAGGAGGGGACTGTGATCCATCCCAGAAAAGCCTGACAGGGGGCAAGAAATGGGGATGGAGACACGGGCTCTGCAGTCAGTTGTTGCCTGCAACAGGAGGGGAGCGCACAGATCCAGATGTTGGGATTTAACCCCACCCCCTGCCACAGCAGCCTTATGAGGCAATGCCCCCACATCCCCCCTGAGCTGAAGGAACAGTCGGTCAGGGACCTCAGGCCTCAGTGACACCCACAAGAAGGCACTTGCACCCCTGGGGGCAAAGTGTGCCGGGGTGGGGGGGCTGCAGCTGCATGGGGGGGGGCATCACCCCAACCCACACCAGCTGTACGTCCCCGGGGCAGGCTGGCACATCTGGAGCCCCGTGCGGTGGGGGCGGCTGCCCACGGGCACAGCCGGGCCCGGCACCCACGGCACTCTGCACGTGCTGCCGGAGCAGCGGGCACCGTCCCACGGGAAAACGCCCTTCCCTCCCGCATCTCAGCTGCGGGCGAGGGCCGGGGCGCCCCGTCCCGGGCACACGCTTCCTGCCCCTCCTCTCCCGCCGCCCACCACCGCTCTGCCATAAACACGGTAATTACCGGCTGCGACGGCACCGGCCGGGGAGGCGGCGAGGGGAAGGCGTGATTCATCCCGCCGGCCCACGGCCCCTCCGTCGAAAGTCAGCCCTGCCTGTCAGTCCCCGCGGCCTCCGGGACCCCCCAGGGCTGCATCACGGGGAAGCGCCTCGTGGCACCTGGGTATCCGGCTCCGGTAACTCCGGGGGGCCGCGGGGCTGCACCAGTGCCCCCGCACCGCCGCTGCTCTCCGGATCGGCGCAGCCGCTCCCTGCCAGCCCCGCACCTCCCGAAGCTCCGGGAGAGCCGGGACGGGGTCGCGACCGCCAGCAGCAGCCTAGTGTAGGGGCAGCACGGATCCTGGGCAGGCAGGACCGCGCCGTGCCAAGGGACCCTGCCGAGCCCAAACCGGGGACACCAGCCAGCCCGCAGCCTCCCCGGGACACCAGCTCACCGGGAGGAGCCGGGAACTGCAAGGGCTGGGCTGGACGCGCCGCGCACCCCAGCTCTGACCCCGCAAAGCCTCTGGGACGGGAGCCGAGGTGCCTGCCCGCTCCCGGGGCCGCGCATCGCACTTGGGACCCCCGCTGTCCGGGGACCCCCGAAGGCACAAAGAGGCTCCCGGGTTCGGGCGCGGGGGGAGCTGTCCCGTTGCGGACTGCGCCCCTCCGGAGCCCGCGCTCTCCCCCCCCCGCGCCCGCCACCCCCAGGGGCACACGGGACAGCCCCCCCTACCAGTGTCCGCGACCGCGGGGGTGCCCGGGCGGGACGGCCCCCGCTCACCTGCTCGCTTGCGGGTGTTGCCGCCGCCGGCGGGCCGCTCCCGGCGCTGCCGCCCCACGCAGCCGCCCATGGCGGGGCCAAGCGGCGGCGCTCGGCATCGGGGCCGCGCCGGCTCCGCGCTGCGCCCGCCCGTGCGCGCGGGGCCCCCGGTGCGCACGGGGCCGCCCCGCCCCCCGGCACACGTGACCGCCGGCACCGCCCCCCCCGCGCGTGCGCACGGCGGGACCACGGGGGGTACACCAGGCCGCGGCCCTGCGCGCGGGTGTCATGGCGGCGGCCGGGGCCGGGGCGGGGATGGAGCCGCTCGCCGCCTCCGTCCGGGATTTCGTGGCCGGGCAGCAGGACGGCCGCGCCGCGGAGGTGGCGGCAGGTAGCGGGCGGAGTGCGGCCACAGGGCCGGGCTTGGGCTTGAGCACGGCGGCGGGGCCGGGCTGGGCCTGGGGCGGGCGTGGGTGCGGCCGGGCGGGTCATGTAGAGGTGTGGGGAGGGCTCTGAGGGGGAGCGTGGGGCAGGGCGGAGCGGGGTGGGGTGGGGCGGGGTGGGGAGGGGAGGGGAGGGGAGGGGAGGAGCGGAGCGGAGCGAGTCAGAGCGTGGCCGTGGGTTGCGCTGCTGTGTGGGGCAGGGCACAAGGGAATAGGCTGTGCTGCCGTGCGAGCTGGGCGTTGGGAGGGACACATGGGGCAGGAGTGGGACAGCAGCGGGGGGCTCCAGTGGTGAGGGAAAAGAGGGTGGCATTGAATACGCCAGTGGGGAGGGAGCTCCTGGCCTGGCTGAGGTGCTGTGGGAGGTGACTGCTGTACTGGCCCCTGCTTCTGGGGCCCAGGCTCTGACTGCCCTCACTACGGTTTCTCCTCCTTTCCTAGCAGGGCTTGAGGCTTTTGGATAATTTGTCTTTCTGCTTGGAGCAGCAATTTGGTGACTTTGTTACATTAGGGAAGTTGTAGCTTCTGGACCTTGGCTTTCTAAGCATAAGGCGACATGTCTGTGTTTCTAGGCAGTGGCTTTAGCATGTTTCAGGAAGGAGCTGAGAGAGCAGAGAAAGAGTATGTAGGTTGCATTATACAGAGGGGTAGCTTATAGACCTTTCCCAAAGCTCATGGATTGTGAACTGATCCATGGTATCTTGATGATGAGATGAGCTGGCAAAACGGGAAGGTGACCCAGTGGCCTGTGTGACATGGAGTGAAGAAAATGCTGAGGAAATTTGGAGAAATTCACTTGCTATGAACTGTGTGACATTTAAGAAATTGTAGAAGAGTTGCACAAGGTCTGTGGCATATTTAGGATGGATGCAGGGAAGGATAACCTTATAACTGCTGTTGTCATCTGTGGTTGTGTTACATAAATGCCCAGAGAAAGCTTTGTCTCTTGGAAGACATACAAAGGGAATTGCCCATCCTCCCCTCTCAGCTCTCCTCAGACTGTGCACTTGTGACAAACCCACCTGGACAAACGGGGTGGGGGGCTGGGAAGTGTCCTTCAGCCCTTCTGACTTCACACAGAACCACACATCAGAAAGGATTAAATTGCACCACCTTGAGTAAAAGGGAAGGTTTTTTTCTAACCTCATGGCTGTTGTGTAATTGTTGGAAGAAACACATTGAGCTTCCCTGTGTATTGCTGAAGACTAAAAGGAGCATAAATTGGCAAGTGGCATAAAGGCTTTGGTGCTGTCACAGGCAGCTTGGGCTGCACAGGTCAGTGGGTAGCAGGAGGAGACTGAACTTGTCTTTATTAAAAGATGGGGAGAGAAGGATACCACTGTTACAGAATTCATCACACGTTCCCTGTGAATGCTGTGCTCGTGTTTTGAGGGTGTGGGGAAGACAAGAATGGAAGGCCTGCAGAAGTGATTAATACCTAGGAGGACACTGTGTGAAAGGGGGGACAGACCTGTTAGGAAAGGGAACAGGTTGGTTCAGAGTAGCAGTCTAGCACAGGGTGATTGATACGCTTCTGTTTTGCCTCTGGGACTACAGGAATCCCAGAGCAGGAAGGCAACCCCTCCTGGTACAGGGAGAGCTGGGATTCAAGGTGCATCATTAACCTTGGGGACATACATGCTGCTGCCAGATGTGGAGGCAGCAGTTTCTCGGGCTCACCATGTGCCTGCTGTGCTGATGAGGCAGGTCCAGTCAGCTGTGCTTGCGCTCACACCACGGCACTGCCTGGGAGCAGAGCCTGTGCTCGCAGGTCCTGCCAGGGCCGGGTGGCCACGCCACGTGAGGTGAAGGTGGTCACAGCCAGGTCCCTGAGGACAGAGTGAACTCCCTCCCTGAGCTGAGCCAAGGGGCTGCTGACCTCGCTGCTGCTGCTCACAGTACCCGGCTGTGATTTGATCATCACACTGCAACTCTTTCCTGTTGTGTAGGGAACCAGCAGCTTTGTGTAGAAGCTGCTTTTGGTCTCTGCAGACACAGAGAGGCAGAGCATTTGGCTGCAGAGACAGCGTTTATCTCAGACCTTCTCCATGGTGGTATAGAGACTTGAGGGCTCTTCATGAGCTTGCAGAGTGGGATGTTGGGTGTGGAGGGGCCATCCAAGCTCTCCCAGTGGCCCACTCTGCTTTAGCTGGTGCACAGCATCTGCTTGCTGTTTCACTGTTGTTATTCTGCAAGAAACTTTGCCAGCACCTTATGGCTGTCAGTCAAGGCACCCCCTGTTCAGTCTGGGCCTGTCGACTCTTGAAACCTGCTGGGCTCTTCTTCTGCACAGCTCCCTTTATCTCTTCTGTCCCTCAGTCCAGGCTGCCTCTCCCTGCTGCATCAGGTGGGATTGGAAGCTCTATCTCTGGAGTCTGGGCTGCCTGCTGTCAGAAAACACTGTCATCCCATCCTCAGAGACAGCTCTCTGATGAACAGTGTGACTTAATACTGGAATTAACTGCTTAGGAAGAGACAATAAATGCTTGCAAGAGTGGGAGACACTAGCTGGGACAAGGCCTGGGAAAGCCTTGGGCTTCTGAGAGGGTGTGCCCTGTCAGTCATGTAGATTCAACAGGGTGGAAGGATAAGCAGGGCCCTCTGGAATACCCAGAAGTACTCCTGGGAAAAGACAGTGAGTCTTGGTGTCTGGAAGGTGGTTGTTTTTTGGGGGAGGCAGAGTGCTGTTTTATCTGCATAGCGAGTGAGGGGTGCTGCTTGTTTCCCAGCAATGTCCCTTGCCACCTGAGCTGCAGGTTAGGGGGTTTGAAGGTAAGGCAATCCCTTGTCTCCCACCCCACGTCAGACCAGAGGACACACACAGCGCTTTCCTTCTGGGAAGGTAACGGAATGGCAGTGGGGGGTGGGAACGGACAACCTGCCCTTCTGCAAAGGTTCTTGTAGGATGCAGCAGGTCCTTACCAAAGCCTCCTGAGGAGTGACTCTTCCCCCAGTTGAGTTGCAAGCATATGGAGGCAGGAGGTGAATGAGGCAACCTGATGAGGTGTCTGAGTCAGAGCTGGAAACAGGCTTCAGGAGTCCTAGCATGTTGTCTTCCTCTGACCTCTGCCTTTCTCCCTGCCCACCATCTTGGAAGGAGTTTGTGCAGGTGTTGTTCAGCACAGTGTGGAGGTGATGGAGCCAAAGTGGGAAGCTGGGTGATCACTATTGTCTGGGCTGTTTGCTCGGCCAGTTCTCCCTCAGGAAGCACCTGGGGAGCTGCCCTCTGTCTCCTCCCAGTTTGCTCACATTGGACAAGTGGTTTTTAGTGTGTCAGCAAAGTGGAGCACAGTGAGGCTTCTCTCAGAAGCCACACATTGGTAATGGATACAGCCAGGCTGTACCCTCTCCCTACCTGGGGAGAGGGTAGAGGCAAAATGCAGGCAGGTTCTCCCCTGGCTGTCTGCTCTCAGCTCTGATCCAGTCGAGGCAGCTCTCGGTCTCAGACGTGTTTGCAGGCAGGGCTGGAGGCAGCTCCACCAACTAAGTGCACATGGCTCGTTCAGTGCTTAGTGAAGAACCAGCACCAAACAGCCTTTCCCAGCATGGTGCCAGGATGCTTCCCAGCATCCATCTCCAGCACCATGCCTGCCTGATAGTCTGGGAGTCTCTTTGGTTCACTCTCATTACCTCCTTTTTCCAGGGGTGAAAGATGGAAAGTGGACAGTGCTGCAGCTTGTGGAAGCCCTGGGGTAAGAAAAGCTTTATGCATGTTATACATCAGGTAAGGGCCTTGCAGGGGACATTCCCAGGAGGAGGCACAGTTAGAAGGAAAAGTGTGCTCATCCAGGACGAGCTTCAGCACTGGTAGACACAGCACAGTGCGCAGGATGTTGTCTGCTCACAGCAGAGGGTGTTTTACCCTCCCTAGACATGGGAGCTGTTTGAGAAAGAGAAGAGCTGGAGCAGCTCTTGATGCTCTCCCAGGACCGAGGGGAGGTGTTGTGGCAGGCAGCGAGCTGCAGGGCACTTCTCAGCTGGGGCTGTCCCCAGCAGCAGCTGCCTGAGCACACAGCTGCACAGCACCGTGTCATGAGTTGGCTGGCACTCAGCTTTTGCTTCTGTTTCCAAGCTGTCATGGCCTGGCCTTTTTTCTCCCAAGGGGGGGGGTGTGAGTTTGCCCAGCTTGTAAGAGGTTTTACTCTTTTTTGACCCCTGTGATCTTCGGAGCATCATGCAAGGGCAATTTCTTTGGTCCTCCTTTGGGACCTGGATTTCTTTCTGTGTGGCTCTGGGGCCAGGTGCATGCAGCACCATCAGGGGCAAAGGAGTCTGCTCACACCCTGCTGGAAAGTCAGGCAGGATTGGGCCACCCTGCCCAGAGAGTGGCACCTCTTTGTTTTTGTAATGTGTCTGCTCAGGATGTACTTCCTGCTTGGGTGTCCCTGCTCACAATAGGCCCCTTGGGCTTTCTCCCTGCTTGGCCTAGGTTCTGCCTGGAGAACACAGATCCTCGGACGCGAGGGCGAGGCATCCAGCTGTTATCACAAGTCCTGCTCCAGTGTTACTCCATGCTCCAGGAGAAGGAAGGTAAGGGCTGCTCTGGGCCCTCGAGTGGCTGGCTGGGGGTAAAGCCTGTGCCACTAAAGTTTCTGTCCTGCAGTTGGCAAAGGGATTGATTTAGCACCATGACAACTTTGTACACATCTGTCAAGAATCAAAGTTCAAGGAGGGCATGAGGCTTCACGCTGCAG